TTTTTGTCCTCTGGTGTTGCCATCACCCCCCCCCCCCCTCCCCCCGAGTACCTTTTTTTAAAAATCAATAATCCCCTCCCTTATTCCGTAGTCCTATACTTCGCAAGGCCGTTACTCCCACCAAAGACGGTCTTCGCTCACACGATGCCGCATTTATTTAAGAAGCGAATGCGCGAAGGGTCACTGATCGGTCACGATGGCGAGCCAGACAATCTAAAAATCGGACGACGCTTGTATTTTCTTTTCTTTTTTCCCCACAAGCGCAGCACAGAGACAAGTCTGAATGTTGAATAAATTTTATTTGCGCGGCAACACAGCGTTTACTCTGCATGACCTGCATTATCACAAATATTCCGTTATCAGACTACCGCTGGCAAACTTCTCGCTGGTAACGAAAGCGGAAGTAGATCTTGAACTTGATTTTCCCTATTGAGCCTCGGTGCCACATACACTTCCGCCTGCCGCCATAGCCGCCTCTTCGTGTGAAAGTGAAACATACTCTCGGACGGTGAAAAGCTGAACGAATATAATATCACAATTGCGACCGGCAAAAATGAACTTCCTGACCTTATCGGACTTGGTTTTCAAATATTCCAGTTCCGCGATACTGACACTATTTTGACAAAAGATGGGACTTGAGATAATTAGGTTTACTCGACCAAGCTGAATCTGGTATTTTTCACATTCCAGGATGCGTATTTTTTCATGAAAAGTCGTATTCGCGTATTTTCTGCCAAAAATCGTACTAAAATACGTAAAATCGTACTGGTTGGCATCTCTGATTTATGTTTTCCATCTCAGATGGAGTTCTCCTCCCAGGTCATGATGCATCAGAAATTATTGTGTTGTGACCATACCGACTACATTTTAAAAAAGATGAAAGGCAGGTTCACTGCCAACAGATAACCACATTACGCAAAGGCGATCATACAGCCCATGAGTATGGGCACTAGTCTGTCTTGGAAGTTCGAGCGCAAAACTGAAAGACAAGAGCGATAGTTGGGGAAATGAAAGGTCCACAAGATCACAGTTTGATGGAATGCAGACTGATGCTTGCTTGTAGGCCCTACCCACCTAGTGTGTGATGTAAGATCAGGTGGATGGCTCAGGTGACCGAGGAAAGCGAGGCATTGACGAGTTCACACCTTGGTGCGATCCCGTCTGGTGCAAACATTGTAACCTCTTATACTTATCGACATTTACAACGCATTCAAGAGAGTGTATGATCCATGACGCAAAGGACCGTACATTGATCCCACATTTTCGCTACTTGGTTGATCAGCTGAGCGCATCCCGGTTTCTCCTTTTAAAAAAAAACCTAAATTATGACCTGAAAAGCAGGATCTTAGCCGAATGTAGCTCCTTCAGTGCGGGATCTTAGGGGCGACTTTTATATAGTAAAAATTCTGTTTTTCCAAAACAGCGGGATCTTAGCCGAACCGGGACCATAAGCGGTGGGATCTTAGGCGGAGACTTCTGTAATACTGGTGGCTTCAACACCCGTAACACTTTTTAGAAGATAGCACCCTTTCCTCAACCTTCAAAATTTGAACAAATGTAAAATTCAATATTCCCAAGAACATGACGCAGCTGCATTTTCACTATATAGGCCTATTGAGCTAAAGAATTTATAAAACCATAGGTTCTGATCATTATCATAATAAAATACTCAAGAATTGAGCCTTTCCTTTCCCATTCCACCTTTTTAAAAATCTAAATGTTAGCTGTTCAGTGTAGTTTCAAAGCCAAAGCAATTGTAGGGGCTCCAGTAGTTGAGTGTTTAGTAAGATCCGGCTCATAATAATGTCAAGCATGTGTCGATAACATGGTCTTTTAATATTGGTAGGCAGTGACTGGGATGAGTCCTTGAGAGAGACGCAATCTTTGCTGAAAAACAAAAAAATTTGAACTGTAAATCTGTATCTCTTCCAAAGCAACTCAAAGTCGCATGTAGGCCCATCCTTCTGCGCACCTGAGGTTTTGTTTTCTGCTCCCTGCTCATAGTTTGGCCGAAGTACCTTTGCTGGTGTAGTGCGTCAGGTGTTTTGGTTTTATCTTTGTGGATTTCAGGTCTACTTTTTGCTCTCCTTATTTGTGATATCAAGATTAATTTCCATTTGTGAGGCAACGTGGTGAAATCAGGTGCTCGCCAAAATAATCAAAGTGAAGAAACCGGCATTTTTACGCTGGTTTGTGAATTTATCGAATTTTTGTTTTTCGGCTCAACAACTTTTAAGCCCATTAAAGAACACATTTCCGTGTGGATTTACTGAAAAAAGTTGAATAAAGGCACCAAAAAAAAAAGTAAATTTTCACTTTCTACGGACTTTCAAGCTAAGGAAATAAATTATCTTTGGCAGCCATTTCTCACCAAATTTTACCTCTGAAACCAGGTGACATCCACCTCCTTCATTCCAAATATCTCCACTTGTATTCAAGATAAATGGATGCTTTTCCATCTAAAGCAAGACAAGTAAACAAACTTTAAGATGATATCAATATCTCTACATGCCCAAAAATTGACGAGAGCGTGATTCCACCGCGCCGTGACACATTTATTATTCACTTTTCGTGCAAAGTATCACATCATCGGCCGATCTCAGATCTTTCTGGTGTTCTTCAATTGAAATTCCTTTACTGAGAAAGGCTGCTTTGAATCTTTATTCGCCTGCTGTTGTGATTCATGTGGATGACATGTGGGTTTTTTTGACATACTTCCTTTTAAATGGCAAACTTTTCTAATATGTGGTAGATTCAAGGTGATGCCTCTCTATGAATGTTTATCAATAATTGGATATACATCCTAAAATTCTTGTGAGTCTTAGTTTCCAAACCACTTAGTGGCATGCAAATAGTTTTGGTCATTTCAGATATTCTAATTCTGCAGGTATCTATTCAATGACCTGAGTAATACATACCTTCCTGAAGCGGAGAACTCTGTGCCTCGTCCAGACCTGCTGTTTCCTCGGCTGGGGTCTGCCCCATGAGAGCTGGAAATAGCCCCAGCCCCAGCATGGGCCCGATCTGCCTTCACACGGCCAGAGTCACTCCCACCGCCACCACCACCGCCACCGCCTCCTCCAAATGCTGGTGTCTGTCTCTGCCCTCGTTGAGGCTGTCGGCCTATGTCACCCCCGGCACTAGCCCGCTCTCTCTCCCCACGGTCTCGGCTACCACGCTCAAGTCTCTCCGGCCTGGCCTCCAGGCGGCTGGGTCTCTCCATCCGATCCCCTCGCTCTACACCTCTCTCTGGCCGATTAGCGCGGTCCATTCGGTCACCTCGTGCCATCCGGTCCCGATCCCCAGCCCGGTCAGGTCTCTCCCGATCTGCTCGGTCCCCCCGGTCCACCCTCCCTCTATCCGACGGCCAAGAGCTGCCACCGAATTCTGGGTGATGCTGGGAGAGAGACAGTTCAAGTTAGAGAAGCAAAGGAAAACATCAAGGAAAAAATAATATGTCACATTAGAAATATTGAGGACTGCTCCCTTTCTTTCAGGTCTCCTTTTGGACTTCTGCCACCATTTCTATTCATAACTGTTTTAAATACAGTCAAACGTCGACTAAGGGCTAACTTTGTAAAACAATCACCTGTACAAATGGCAATGTCCCATTTCTTCCCTTGCTTTTTTTTACATTCAAACGACATTGTGTCTAAGACAACCACATTTCTCCTCAACAACTGGTGGCCACTTTGGACAGCTTTGACTATATGTCACTTCCACAAGACTACAGCTGTGACTGATAAAAATGCTGTTGATGGACAAACTGGAACAAGTCAGATAACTGATCAAAAGAGACAAGAGGGCAAAAAAAAAATTAAATTATGACTGATGCCACTTTTACCCTCTGTACTCTTCAAATATTTCACACCTACTTACACAATATACATCAATTAAGGATCAGAGCATCATGCACCTTTCTATCAGGATAAACATGGGCTGTGACGCATACATCAAACCTGCACTTATCACTACATGGCATTGGACAGAAGGGCGAGAGCCCAGCTGTTGCTGGATCGATAACAATAAAGAAGACATCTAAAGGAGTGTCTTCATCTTTTAGCCAGATGCTACCCCAACAGCCCTTATTGAAATTAATCTAAATCACGTCAACCGGGATACCATTACAACAAAAAATATTTTTAGTAAAGTACACTCAGAACCCGGGTCATTCCCTCTGACGCAATCTAAGTAGAGACAACAATCGCGAAACCCTGAGGAACAGAAGACACCTTCCCCTCCACAAGTCCAATGAGTCAGAAGACAATTCCCACCACCTCATCCCTACACTCAGGATAACCCCTCCCAAAGAACAGGAGAACCACAGGTCCCACCAACTTTCATGACCAGAAGACAACCCCTCCCCTCCCCCACCTTCCATGATCAGAAAAAAAACAACCTTCCTCTTTCAAACGAGCAGAAAACATCCCCCCCCCCCCCAAACCTCTTACTCATAAAAAGAAGACATCTCCCTCCCTCCCCCAAACAGCGAATGAACAGAACAATGAACAGAAGGCTACCCCCCCCCCCCCCCCAACCAAGATCAGGTCAACATCCAAGCACACTGAACACAATTCACGACCTACCTGATCCATCGCACGTGGCCCTGGTCCCATGCCACCAGGCTCCCCAAAGTGTCGTGGTCCATGGCCTAGCAGCGAGGCCCGGTGGGAGGACCCAGGCATGGGGTAGGGCTCAGCTCCCCCTAATCCTCCCCGCATGGGAGCACCACCACCGCTACCACTGCCCCCTTGAGCTGTGTTGAGCATCGCAATCTGGTTCTTAATGGCTTGATTGAGCTGGTTCTGCAACTGAAGCATCTCTTTTGTCACCTGGAGACAGGAAAAATATATTCCAATTACATTAACATGAAGTAATTACCAAAGGAGCAGTAAGTATATTATATTGACTGCTGTGTAAGACTCCGTCATAAGTCACGTTTCAAAATGGTGTATAGCGGAACCTTACACTGAGCAGTCCATATATGCTCTAGTCACATCAAAACTAAACCTCATCCTAGCGATGGTAAAAGAGCGTCATCCCTTTTAAAATAAACGGCCATCTGTGAGTAAAAAAAGCTGTCTTATCAACACTAGGTATACAAAATTATGCATATTGATGAACAATTTGTGCCGCCTTTACTCACACTATGCTTCAAAGCGGTCTGTCTACTTCACATCACATAACAAAGATTTCTTGTTCCCACAAAGCTAATTTCTGACTCATACAGAATACCATTCTGACATAAATATCAACACTAAACAAAAATGTTAATATACCGATTTAAGACAAGACAGTACAGACCAACAGATAGTGAGTAGCCTTGAGAATTTCTTAAAATCTTTTTTTTTTAATGAAACCGACAGGAGAAACATGATACCCCAAAACAGTAGAATATTAAGGGGATATGTAGGTGGGAAATCGGGTCAAAAATTGAATTTTCATTGAATATTAAATTTTGATGGATTTCGATAGTTCAACCATTTCTACACGTCGTCATATGATCAGTTATACTAGTTCTCTTCCTGACATAAACTGCCCTTGAAATACGTAGGTAAAAGACTTTCCTCTCGTGTTTTAATGAAAAACAACCCATAAACTGAACTAAGTAACGTCATAATTCAAACAACACATTGCATCCTTCCCTTAGATGTTTTGTACCGCTGTTTAGCTCATTTTCCGCTTTTTGCGTTTCCGGAATCGAGCGAGGGAACAAAATATCGAGAAATTGTTAGTGAATAAGACTTTTTGGTCATTTTCTGTGATTTTCTCATTTAGCAAATTTTTTCCACAGAAATTCGCAATACTCAATTATTTGTGAACCAAATTGGATGAAACTTTGTACACAAGTCTATTATGATGTTGTGCACATTCATGCAACAGGAAATTTTGATTTGTACAGTACTTTTTAAGAAAAATGACCCTTTAAATTGTCATTACTGTGGGTACACTAAAGTGTAAAAGTCGTAAAATCTTTGAAATTGCTTTACTTGAAAATCGATGTCAAATGAATTAATATCTTAGTTAGTTTTATATCCTCACAAAATTTGAAGAAAATTGGTGTACAATTAATTGAGCAATAAACTTCTCAGTTGATGAATTTTCGTCATTTTGAGACCATTATTTGCATCTGTTGGCTAAGGACTGTAAAAAATGAGAGTTTTCAATCTTTTTTCTGAATCTCTAAACCACCAAATGTGTAATTTCAATGCTAAGCCAAGTATGAAAGGTCCCCATTTCAAGGTAGAAATATCAGCAGCATATTCCCTTAAGGGAAAAGAAAAAGTTGCATAGGGAAAGAAAATGTGGACTAAAATTAAAGACAACATTAGCACAAAAGCTGTAAGCCATAAAGCATCTCTCACCTGGCTTTCCTCCCTGTTGCCTCGCCTCCCTCGTCGCTCCATCGAGTCTCTGTCTCTGTTCCTTCTGTCTCCCTGGCGTTCGTTCAGTCGGCGTCTGCCAGGGCCTCCAGGGTAGTCTCTGTTTCCTGCCAGAGGAACTTTAAGTATGTAGATTACAAGTAGAGGTACCAAACAAAACACAGTGTGAAAATACAACGGGTTAAAATGAAAGTTTGGATGGAACATCATAAAGAAATCACTTTGTTTTTAACAATGTCATGACAAACTGGGACTTTTCAATAGAGCTCGTTTGCAACATCAGTAATATAGTTTGTCCAGTGAATTGTTGGCAAGAGTAAAAACAGCAGTTACAAACTACTAAGTCCAGTTTCATGCACCAATGAAAGCTTTCAAGTTCACACCCAGAAGCGAAAGTAAATAAAATTGGGAACACGTGTAAGTACTGAAAGTAAGTTTCAGACTCCTTACACATAGAAAAAGGTAGAAGGGAGAAGATGATTCTTCAGCATCACTTTGACACTATCTTGTTTTATCATTAGCATGCAGTGTTAAAAGAAACAAAAATTAGGCCGAAAGTGTGCTACACTGGATTTGTATCTCTTGTAAAAGAATACACCATTTTACTGACATTTTTCTTTTCTTTTTTTATACTCTGCTGGCACCAAACAAGTTTTCTACCAACAACAAAAGCAATGTGTGGTTAGGCTGCCTTGAAGTCCAGCATCCCACTCAACTAAAACATAATCAGGTCACTGACACTGATAGCACCATTTGGAACCTTTTTTTTCCAACAAGGTAAGACCAAATGAAGACATTCTAAACCACTAAATAGCGGAGTGTCCTACCTGGTCCTCTGTTCTTCATCATGTCTGGCAACAACCTCGACTCGGGGCCTCTGTTCAGAAGTGACCTACGACCTCCTGGCCGACCCATCTCCTCGACAGGTTCTTCCATCAATGGTGGGCCACGTTGACCACGCATCAGCTGACCCCTAGTCGGTTTCTTCCTCGCAAGGAGGGCTCTTTTCTTGATCTGTTGCACTCGTCTGTTTAACGGGGTCATCAGAGGACGGCGCCGAGGCAATGAGCTCTGGTTCAGACTCTCAATGGAATCAGGCGGACCAGTGTCTTTCTTTTCCGGAGGAGGCCCAAAGAACAGGGGAGGCAACTGGATTGCTTTCACTGAAGTCAAACCAAATTAAACGAGATGATCTCCTATCCTTAAAAGATGGCAAACAGATTTGCATGCAGTCTGATAGTTTCACATACATTTTTTTTAATGACCGAGGTACAAAAAAGTTTAAAATGTTGTATAAAACCCTCAAAGGGGCAAAAAATACAAAACAAAAGTGAAAGATAGAAAACTTGCACCCAAAAAATAACTACAGTACCAAAGAGAGAGCAGACCACAATTACGGTCAGTTTCTGTGAAAGATTTATCATGTCTGCAAAAAACCCAAGGATGGGGAGGATGGACAGACAAAAGCGAAGATTCTTTTTTTTTTTAAACATAACACAATAACAATCATAATTTATTGCAGGGAAAGGGAAACACAGACTTTTTAAAAAGGTAAGAGAGGGGGGAAAAAGAAGCAGGATCTATCAGTAGTGCCCTTCAACCACCAACTCCATTAGAGAACAAGACAGACCCTGCAACCAAAAAAGTAGAGACAGACTAATAGAACATTTATCAGCACAACATATAAAGACCAACCTGAATCATCGACAGTCAGTTTGACGTGCACATCATTAATTTCCAGTCGCTTGAAAGACTTGTACACAAGTAATGAAGTCACAGGAGTCTTGCATTTCACCGTGGCTTTGCTAAAACAACATATAATAATGCACTTTGAATTAATGTATTCATGGAAGCACAAGAAAAAGACCTAAAAAAGAAACAGACAGAATTTCATCTAAAACAAGCCTGATTCTGTTATTACAATTTGGACCCCAAAAAAATTATTATAAAGAGAAAACATCACAACACGGAACAGTAGAACACTTAGAAGCACATTCTGGAACATCGAGGTCCTCTTTTTTTCTCACTCTTTTCCATTTCAATTTCACCTCCAAAAACTTCCCATTGGACACAACTTAAGAAATGGGAAAGGCTGAATCCCTATCACATTCCACCAGAACAGTGTTGACTGCAACATCCTTTCTTCTTTTCCTCATCGATCCAGAAGCCAATGAGTCTGATGCAGAGCTGTAATCCATTAATGTTTGCTGGTCCATTTTCGTTGTTTATTGCTTCCTTTACAGCGTTGAACATAGACATTGAAGAAATACTTGCAACTATCAAAGCATCATATTTACCATTGCTGTCCGAGTCGTGATGACAATATTTGTCTGAGTCGTGAAAATACTGTAGTTGATCCCTTGTCAGGATAGCCAGATAGGCATGATGGATGCACCAACCAGGCAGCTTGAAAGTGTATGTGATGGAGGTATCATGCCAGTTGTGCGGCCGTAAGGAGTGGTATCATCAGAGTGGCTCAGCAACCTTGAGTGAGAAGCTCAGTGACGTGGTGGCACTGTCGTGGCGTTCTCACATGTCTCCTTGTTGTTAGTCTGCCAAACTGAGGAGACTCCAGCATCAGATTTCCCAGCATGACCTCATGTGTTCGAAGGAGAGATGAGAGATGAAGAGATGCAGATCCCATCATCAGCTTGTGATGTGTCCACAGTGATTCCATGAGAATGCAACTAGAAGATGAAGACGTTTCTATGGCGATGAGCAAAATTGCTGTATGACCTCTTAACCCTTTATCTCTTTATTCATCCCTAAAGAAGAAGCAAGGAGAAAGCCAGGGGAGAATAGATGAAAAAGCTTCCTTCTATACAAAAACAAAAATTGTGGCATTCCCGTATCAAAAGGAACTACAGATATTGGACACACACAGCTAGGGGATCCATTACTTTTCTACAATGGAATTGCATTGTAGAAGGCATGGGTATGCATGAGCAGTACAGTAAATACAAAATTTTTTTATCGCATACCTATAGTCTATAAGAACCTCTGGGTTCTATAAATGACACACATGTCAATGCATTTGTTTCGGGGCACGAGCCTTTTTCATGAATAACAATCTCCCATTCTTTCACACAACTGAGAATTGACATGGCACTGAATAATATGCAATCATTGAGTCAAGGGGATAAGCTAAGATATACCCTACAACACAACTGAAAATGTAGTGACATGAGGAGTAGGTTTAAAGACGAAGATCTATTTTCAATGAGAATAAAGGGTCCAGATGAGAAGCTGATCTTTCATTGAAAATTTCTTGAACACACAGGAGATCTTTAAAAAGACAGCCAGCAGTTAGGACAGTTCTGAAGAGATCCATTTTTGATGATTTATGACAGCTCAACATCCAGGCAATTTGCATTGTGCCAAAACTATAGATGAGCAAGGAATGAGTCTTCAGGAGGATCTGGGAGAAGCAGCAATGATTTTCTTGACGTCAATCCAGATGTGAAGGTCAGTATTCCAGGTGGTCTGCTCTGCTGTGACTACACGATGACTTCGATGAACAAAAACTGAAAGTATGACATGACATTTCCATCTCAAAGCTTGGGGTATGCATGAAGACTTACCACCATTGGGCATGGGGTTTTTCATGAGCTGGGAGGGAGTAACATGTACATATTAACAAACGTTGAGGCACGGATTGCCAACGGTTCGTTTTGAGGTCGGTGCTGACTGCACTGATGGCAGATACAGGTACAGGGTTACGACAGACATGTACAGGTGGTGCAAAGGAAACAATGTCAGCTTAAGCAGTGTAGCTCCTCAAGGCACAGTTTGGTTCAACGAGCATGAGATCGTGGCTACTCTTGCGCTTTACTCACCGTTCCTCTGGGTCATCGCTCTCTAGAATGTCAATTTCGGTCGCAAATGGGAAAAGAGCACCGATGAAGTCCTTTGTGGCCGCTTTAGGCAGTTTGTTGAGAGTGACGAGTTTCTCGATGAGCGTCCCTGAAACAAGAGGGGGAGAAAGTGCTTGCACACCCAGAGCCTGGCGAATGTGGGTTGCCAGCTAGAGCAGCACAGCCCGAGAGCAGCAAGCTCAACGTGTCGGGGAGATCTTCGTTGAGCGTCATTTGTTCTCTTTTGAAGTCGCTGGACAGAGCTTGTCAGCAATGCTTTTCTTTTATTACCCTAACATTGTTTTTTTAAAACTAGCAAAAATTTTCCGCTGCCACCACCCAGTATTTTCACAATTTCAAGCTGAACAGAGACATTGAATTTAGAAAAATAATTGGAAAGTGATCAAGACTACATTTTCATGGATATACTTTCTCTTGAGCACAATTCCTTCAATCTTGAATCATTGGTTACTTAAAATAGACAAAAAGCATTGCTGACAATCCTGAAGTCATCGTTGTGGTAAAGCTGATGTTGGTGTCAGTCAAACGCTTGCTGCTTGAGGAAAGAAAGACATGTGCTGTTAGACAACAATCATAGTTACCAGGACGACTTTGGTGACTGCTGGAACAGCAGGTATGGGGGAGATGGTGGTAGGACGATGAAGCTTTTACCAGCAGTGCTGCGGTTTACGAGCGAGTTAGCAGAGCGAGTATGGACACATGTTCTGCTGGGCACCACGCGGTGGAGAGATAGAGAGAGGGGCATAACAGCCACTGGTACAGAGCGACTGCTGCTGCACTGGAGCTATCTGAAAGAGACCACTGCAAATCCACAGGCTTCATTCACAATTGTCGGAATTGAAACAATCTGCTTCCTCACACATAAGAATTGACTGCTACCCCAGATGAGAAGGAAATACACATAACTGAGTCGACAAAATTCAGTCGACTATGTCCACTAAACTCCTTCATTCTACCGACTTAAATGCCAGGACGATTGATAAGTTCAGGTTTCAGTAAAAGAAAATTGTTTTTAATCAAAATAATGTTCACCACTGAACATTACAAATCTTTAAAAAATTATAATTCCCACAAATTTGTACACTTTTCAAACAACAACTTTGACTTTATTTTGTCGTACCGAATATCTCATTCCCAGGTAACAATTACCCCCAATGAAGTGGAAGACTAAATATAAAATAGTCTTACTTTTAATTGATTCTTCAACTGGTTACCCATATCCTTCAAGAAGACTATTTATTCCCTTCAAAAGACATTACCTCAAGAAATAAACCCTAATAGAGTGATCAATAACGCAACCCCAGTCTAGTCTTTCAGGCAAAATAACTATAACAATCAGCCACTTACAGTGCACATTTTTTAAACAAAAAAAAGAAGTATGGTACAAGCAGCCTATGACAGAGCCAAACTTGTGCAGAGGGACGTGTTTGTAGTCCTTGCTCTACAATGACCCATGGACCAGCAAAGCAAATCATTTTGACAGCTTTGAGACCTTAAGGGCACTACCTTGTAGGAGACTGACGAAGTACGTAGGGCAAGCAAACACATTATGCTTGGCAAGTCTTTATGACCAGACAGCACGTGCAGATCACCTCAGTACGTCAACTCGTCGCCTGAGCAGTCAGGCATATTATGAAAAATGCCGCTCATCCTTTAAGTTTTCAGGAACATCTGGAAAGGACTCGAATCCCTGAAACGCACACCCCATGCTGCAGAAGAGTTTCATCATATGATGGTACACCCCTGATGCAGCACAGCTCAGCTATTTCAAAACAGCCCTGAGAAGCTGCACGTCTACGATGTGTTGAAGAGCTGGACAGGGTCAAAGAGGGTTGTGGGGAATCAGGACAGAGACTGGCTCGTATGGAGATGGGTCAGTGTGACCACTGTTCTGCAGGGCAAAGAACGCCAGCCCAGACGTCTTGCAGAGCGAGCCCCCTTCGGCGAAGAGAGTTGATGGGTGAAACAGAGCTGGAGCAGCTATCGTCTGGCTGAGGAGTGACTTGAGAAAACTATAGAAACATATATATATAAGATTTACTGATAAAACCACCGTGGCCAAACAGGTTGCAAGCTAACTCACCAATAACTTAACCAAAAGACCCAAGAAAAAGAGAAATGAAAGAAATTTAAATTTAAAAAAGTAAATATCAGTCTATGCATTTGCTACAAATCGACAACAAGGTTACTACATAGGAATAAAAAAAATTCATACAGCTGGTATTCATTTTAGTGAGAGTTTTACAGCACTTGGCACACAATAAGGTCATAAAAGAGCCAAAGATTAGAGGTGTTACAAGACAGGAACAAACAAAAAAAGAGGATAGTTTGATAGGAGAGAAGGAGCAACCCACACCAGAACACCCACCAACCACCCACTCTAATGTTCAACATGAAGCAGAGAAATCAAACTGAACAAATCCACGGACACAAAGTAAATTAACAGATGAAAAGCTCAACTGATGTTATTTCTATAATAGAAACTATATTTATTCAGGCCAAATTAAGACAAAAGTTAAGTTGAAAGGAAGCAAGAAAAGACCATACAAGAGAGCCCCTCAACCGCCTGCTTCACAGCTTCCTTGCCTTAAGGCATACCTGGTATATCATAAAACTGTGTAATTTTTAGCTTCATGTCATACCATGTACGTCATAGAAGTTGGCCAAATTTGCTATTCCTTGTTGCCAGTATGACGTTATATGCACGGTACACTAATCACCTGGTTCTAATTCTTCTGTATGGAGTTTTAGCCACAAGCACTGTATGGATTCGTATTTGGGAATAAGAGATGCCCATATCGATACCAAATTTGCCAGTATTACTTTACTGCTAGATAAACAAAGATCTAGTCTTGTGGACAGCCACCCGCTTTCACAAAATGTAAACACCAAAATGACTTTAAAAAGGGGAGAAAAAAAATTACTTTTTGAAGTTATTGGAAATTATGAGAGAAAGATTGGGGGAAATAGGGAATGAGAAAAGTGAGAAAAGTGACATGATCGAAGATCCTGTGTCCGAAATATGTCACAAGTCGGCTAGACCTAGACCGTGAGTCCATTAACACTGGGACTTGAGACTGCTGTCTTCGGTAACGAGCTCAGCTGAAAATCAGTACTGACAGTAAGAACTCCCTGGCAACGAAAGATTTAATAAGAACAAACATAATACAAAGGCAGAGTAGAGGAACAAAGAGAACTAATCAACCATCACAGAGGCATAGATGAGAAAATGGAAGAATCAACAGAGAGAAAAACATGGTCACATAAAAAGGCAGAAGGCAGAGTGAAGGATCTGGACAAAATCATAAAAAAGGAAACCAATATAAAGGCAGAATGTATGAACTGAAAGTAGTAAAACAGGCAAAAACATAATCTATACACACAAAAAAAAAGAAAAAAAGAGAAGAGGAACTGGAAGAAGTGATAGAGAAAAAAATATAAATAAATAAAAAGAAAAGAGAGACCTGCAAACCCACTATAGAAATGACTCAAAGCATTCATGCCCAACCTGCAATGGAAACACATGGAAAGTGCAGTTCCCAAATGTTTTCATATGATTGGTAACTTTTGGAAATTCAACAGCAATTATCATTCTAAACCCATATTAACCTGAGCACTCAACAAGAACAAGCTATAATTCTACAGATAGAGTGGCAAACTAGATCATCACTATTGCAGTTTAAGACTTACTTCACTTATCCCAAGACCATTAATCTTTTTCAGTCACGAGCAACATAACAATTTATTTTCCAACATAAGGTACATCAAACTACTCAGACAACAAAGAACAAAACAACTAAGGGCTTTAATTTACAAAACAATAAAAACAATGGTAAATTGCTATTGAAACAGGAAATTTACCTTTTTCTCCCTTGGCATCAAAGATCTTTTTTGACAAAAACTTGTCAAACATGAGATACGCTGAAACAAAAAGAAAAGAATTTAATGTAATATATAAAGAGAAGAGAAGGAGCTCGGCACAACATTCTGTGCATTCTCAATGGCACTTCATTCATCCAGTCTAGTATACAGCATGATATGGCATGTGTCAGATCCTGAAACCAAACCTGTCTTCCTGACAACTATAGATTAACCATGTTGATATTACATTTGACTGGACAAGCTGAAACTGTTGAAGCTTTACTCTCAACAATTCTTGGTTTTTCTGAGATTTCCTTCTCACGTTGAGGATAATGAATTCAATAAGACACTACAACTCACCTATGTTAACAAAATGCATTGAATTGCCTATAAAGAAGTTGGAAATCAAATAAACTCTTTGACTAATCCCTTTGATTGAGCAGTTCTATTAAGTTCTGCATCTTGTAGCGCTGAAACTGCTTGAAGATTCTTTTAAAAAACTGGTAACAAATTTACAACATCAATTTTTCTTAAGAAGGAAAAAAAAAATCACTTGATGAAATCTACTTGAGTGAGGTGAGGTAAAGAAAAAATAGTTGTGTCCATTCAACAGCAGCCCAGGTAAGACCAACCTCCGCCCTACAGCAACCTAAGATTGCATAACAGAATTTCCCTATATAAATAACCTCCTTTAACACTAACCTTTTCCTCTTACAGTAACTTTTATTGCTGTAAATTGCCTGACATTTTTTTTTTTGAGGATTCAAAAACAGAAAACCAACACTGGCCTATAATTTGAGTGTGTGTGCATATCCCTTCTCAAGATTTAAAAACTGTGAATACCAGCACTGGCCTAAAATTTAAATGTGCATGCATCCCTCCTCTTGAAAACTACATGTTAATTGATTAGTTTCTTAAGTCCCTTTACAGCAGGTGACAGCACTCAGACTTATCCCATTTTGGTCTTGGGGCTTCCCTTGTCCCCACTGCATCCATAGAATTTTTAAATACATCCAGTTTGAATTATTACCCTTGCAAGTTTAAAACAGACATACTCTGGGCTTTGTTCTTCTACTGCTGTCCATAAATATCAATGATGACTTAAAAGTATGCATGATACACCTTTGCCTGGGCTGTAGACACAGAGGATGCAAATTGCCCGAGTACTACTTTCCTCCTTTCAGATCTTTACTTCCTTGATATGTTCCAAAGAAGGGACATAGTAAATATATTTGGAATCAATGGTTTAAGGGTGTGCATATTAATGTCCCCCAAAAAATGTGAAACAGGCAAAACCAACAACACACCTTTGCATTCCTTTTTAGAGTCATCACCGTCTTCTTTTCCCCCTGTGTCTTTTCGAACTACTTCAATGCTCAGGAGTTTGTGATGGAACTCCATGCGGAGTAGTTTTCCGATGATCGCTGCTGTCTCTTTCTGAGTTGCAACATACAGCTCTGCTTTTCTGGAAATAAATAAACTTCCATGATTTCTAAATTATTCACACAAAATTAAATCAAAACAAAAAAACCTTAACTGAAAAAGATTATCCATTTTGCAAAATCTTAAATTTTAGGAACAAAAGTTATGATTTAATAAGTACTCCAAATCACTAAAATTTACAGAATTACACACTACATCCCCGCATCCTTTCCTGTAACATATTATCGCAAGTTCTGAAAACAATTCTACACACACATATTAGAAAAGAAAAGCAAACCCAATATCCAACAAACACTTTTACAAGGGCAAGCTCAAATACAAAAACAAAACGGAACTGAGAAAACAATTAAGAAGTCAAGCCTCATACCCATGTCTGCTTTCACTGGGAATGTACAGTAAACTCTCTGAGGCCAGTTTGCACAAGATGCTCACATAGCTCAGCTGTAGATCATCCGCATGAAGTGGGTACACCTTAAGCTGCCATTTCCTCTCTGAGGAAAAGAAGAAAAATAAGAGAAAATATAATCACACTTATCCCAGAGACCACTGGCCTCATTTTCAAAACTTTCTTGTAATACACAACATTCATGATGCTGTTTATACCCATATGAACCTTAGTCTCTTCCATAATACGATACAATAATATGCTATATTTTGTAAGGGTAAAGACGTGGGACGAAATATTAACTTCATTCTCTAATTCAGTGACAATTTTCTTGTTGAGTAAAAAAAAAATCATTGACAAGAGATTTTTTTTATAACTGCAAAACTATTACACTTATAATGAAGACAAGAGGGCAAAAGAGAACTTGCATAGTGGAAGAAGAAAGTGAAAAACAACTAGCTTTTCATAAAGTGAACTACTTTGGTCTATATTCTTGTTCATGAAAACCCTTTGATTAAATGTAAATTAATCTGATTCACCTGCAGTTTGAGTTTGGTGCAATTTATGTACTATGTAATGCATACAATAAGTTGTATTTTACCAACAAGTAAAAAGAGCATCAAGAAGACCTACTACTGGCACTGCTCAACCACCAGCCAAGAAAAATGACACCTAAACCTGCAACAGAAGTCAAGATCAACTTACTTCTCAAACTGTTCACATCCACCACAGGGGCCTTTGGCTTCTTCCTCACACGTGGATTTGCCACCGTGGCCACCTTCACAGCTGCTTCCGCCTGAGCCGGTTTGGTACCTGCATCTGCAGGGGCAACTTTCTGCACTCGAGCTTTGGCCTCTTTCCCACCTTCTTTGTCAGAATCTTCCGAGTCCCCAGCCATATCCAAAACCACAAAATTCTCATTGCCACCTCCTGCAGTACTTGTGCTGGCTGGAACTTCTTTTGGTGGGTCAGAAGACTCTACTTGCATGGGAGTATCTTCTTCTGCACTCATTTTAAATGCCTGAAAATTACAGCAACCGAAGGGAAACATTATTAGTATTAGCTAAACTGAACCACTTTGAAAGCTACTTGGGATGGGATAACGCCAACCATGATATCTTACCACAAAAATTACTAAAATTAAAAGTAAATTGAAGATCGAAGAATTTAATAGAATCAAAGGTGCCCAGAAAAGGGCAAGGGTCAAATGGATAGAAGAAGGGGAGATATGCACAAAATGTTTTGTATCGTTGGAGAAGAACAGGTCCAACACAAAAACCATAAAACGAGTCAAAAATGTATGTAGTGAGTGTTTAACAAATGAAATAGAAATTTCAGAAGAAATAGGCTTACAATTTAAAGCTCTATACAACTATAACACAATTACGAGAAGTCATTCCTGTTATTCAGTCAACTTACAAAACCTAGACTTAGCATTTTACGAAAAATAAAGAATTTATGGATAAACAATTCGGATCACTTGTGCGTCAGTCGTGTGGTCATGGACTAGGTATTTCAGAAAGCACCATTATTTTTCAGTAGAATCACCGTAGCTGGTTAAATCTTTTTGCTTTTCGTCGTTTATTCAATACTTCAAAAGCCGCGATGCGCGAAAGGAACATCGGGTTCCTAGATCTACGATTTCGGTCGGCTGTTTAACATTCGCCGTGTTTGTCGTCACCTTGCGACGTGCTGGAAGTCCAAATTTCAGCCCACCTTTGTTTTGAACGGGTCATCAACAGTGCCCAGATATAATTGTTTTCTCGAGTGACTTCCCTTTACCCGCTTCCCCACAACAACGGAAGCAACGGGGGAAACAGAAAAACGAAAGTAGTCATTGCCTTCAGCGTCCGTTCAGCGTCCTGTGATGCACAAGAATCTCGAGTTGAATGTGATGTACTGGACTGTTTTGCATGTTTTTAGGCTGCTCTGTTGAAAATTTTAGTGAAATTGCAGAGTTTACACTGGATTCCTGGAACAAGAGTGTGATGTGTGAACAAACTTCGAGAGATGGATCATTTCTGTGGTTATAGATTTAGCTTTTGTGCTTAGTGATGACGTTTGGGGTGTCGTCATGCAGCCGAACAAGACTGACTGACGTACTAGAAATTACATTGTCCTAAGAGCAAACAATTTTTTAAGTCATGTGTGCTCTCTTTACTCAAACAAATAAACAAACATGTCCTTGTTTATCTGCCTAACTCAAAAATACACATTTGTGCTTTGTTGGTATGATATGCCTTTTTCCAATGCATTGTGTCATTGTGTCATCATTGTTATGTAGGCCTACAAGTAATATTTGTCATCATTGCTATTAATATCAATAAGTTTACAACATATATTTCATACATGCAAGATTCATTTAGAAGCAAAATATGCCTTTATTGATCTGTGTATCTCTTAGTGCAAATTTGTTCTTTGTAGGCATGATTTTACCTTTTCCCAGTATGTTTTGTCATCACTGTTATGTACGAGTACTGTTTGTCATAATTAGCAACATAATTGTGATCATCCACTGTCTTTGATATGACCTGATATCTGTTTCAAAGCAAAAGAAACCTCTCCTGATTTGTTTTTTTATTCTTAAAGTGCGCATTTCTCTCTGGAGGCATGACTTTGTCTTTTCCTGTACATTGTGTCGTCATTGTTATGTACAAGTCATGTTTGTCATCACTGTTATGTACAAGTCAGCTCCATTGATTTTGTGCCTTTGCCTCAAATTAGTTTAAAAATTGTTTTACACATGTGTTTTTCTGGTACTGAGGCTTTGATAACTGTATTTGTACAGCCTTTCACTATTGTGATGTGTTGTCAATGATAATGTCCAATGTGTATCCTTTCTTGTACATAACAATGATGACATGTTCTGTGCACTGCGTCATTGTTACAAAGCTTGTCATTCATATTACCATTATGAATGGAGTTCATAGTGTACAAAGTCTTTGTTTATTAAACAAATGGAATTTAAAGTCCATATTTGCCTTGCTGCTTATCTGTTTTTGTCATCACTGTTACATACAACAAATACAGTAGTTGCCAAACCAACAGACCCATATCTCCAAAACCCTACATCTCCTTGCTCTGATACTCTAGGAATATGAACACTAAATGCCAATCTGTGACTCACAGAAAAGAGAGTCAAATAGGTAAGAAAAATGTTTTTGCACCACTGAGTCTCAAGAGAGTCTCACGTTTTGGCAATTGCTCACCTCTATTCTCACGGTGAGAATAGCGCAGGCGAGTCTTTTGGCTATTCTCACCCGGTGTGCGTTCACCGTTACAGCCTAGGCCAACCAGTGTAGCGTTCACCCTGAACCACAGAATTCTATACTGTGATAACAGAATTGTAAAATTGAAACGTGAACAAACGTTCCATTGCTACTGTTAGCCAACGTTCCATTGCTACTGTTAGCCTAAAAGCGTGCAATTTTGTCTGTGGGCAGTGGAGAGAAAGAGAGAGAGAGAGAGAGAGAGAGGAGTAGCGCGAGAACTTCCAGGCAAAACAAAATGGCGACCCGCGCAGTTCCGCTCGATTCGAAAAGTTAAATAGCCATAGCATCTTTGTAGACGACCAAATCAATTTACTTTTGTGTTTTAACATCATTTTTTAACTTTGTTTTGGTCAATTTGATCCTCCACACCGATAGACAGTATTCAGAAAGAGACAGAGAGTGGGTACCAGAAACTAAATTTTCAAAGTAGCTGTATGCCGAATTTATCTGTTCCATTTAAAAGGCCTCCACTGAGCATTTTGGTACCATTCTTTAACCTCTCAGTCAATTTTTAAGAAAATGGTAGTTGTTTAAAATTTGATCAAATTTGTTAAAGTCAGTCACTGGCTGCAACCCAATGTTTGACAGATAAAAGAGTACCAAGTGCACTAAACATCTCCACATTAACAGAGTACAATCACTATAACAAATAAATAGAGCCCAATTTTTTTCAAGACTGTGAAGTCATTACAAATCAGTATTTTATCGTCTCAAAGACAATGATCAGTCGTTATTTCGACAAAAATACAGAGCGTTGACCCGGCCGGCACCGCACCGGCCCCCGCGGCGAGCGAGTCGGCTCTATACTGTAGTGTATCCCGCGCGCGGGGTTACATGCTTTCTGAGTCTTGCAGAAGGATTGATGCAAAATAATTCCAAGCTAATTACTTTATTAAATTCTTTAATAGGCAATAAACTAATCTTTTAATGGAATCTTTTTTTAACCATTTCGCACTTACAGCGCCCGTATGAGCCCGCGCCAGTGTCCCCCGCTCATTCCTATAGCGCCCGCCACGGGGGCGTTTTTTTGTTGCCGCGGGAGGGTTCTACTTTTACTATCATCAGAAGTTTCACTTAGCTATCTTTATAGAGGAAGAGTTCCGGTTTACTATGGTGTTTTTCTTGTTTCGCTAGCAGAAAGAGTCACTTTTTGAGCAGGAACAAAAGTCGGAGAAGATTTTATTTGTAAACACGCCATCATGTCTCTAGGATGCATGGGCGCAAAGCTGCCCGATATGAGTACGGCAGAAACAAAATAAAAACACCCTAAGAAAAGTCTTTTAGGTGCTTTCAAGTTTCCACCAGAGGCTTCAATCTCTGTGAATGTGTTGTATTTCTTTTGTGTGGATTATCTCTTCGTCAGTGGCAGAAACTTCGTGAGTTGAAGAAATGTATACGAGATCTAGATCTAGAGATCCAGATCTAGATCTACCTCAATGTCCACTGAACCAGCTCTTGTTTTATTTTCTTTCTTTACTCTCACTTCATTATTTTTGTACTCTATATTCAATTTTCCTTCTGAGGCTGTCCTTGTTTTTGTTGTGGTTTGATTGTGTGATTTTATGTTGTTGTTTTTTTACAACCACCCTCTTCTTTCCTCCGGAGCGCTCTCGGAATCCAAGACACGCATCTAAGAAAGACCTCTCATATCATTTCATACTGATACTCTTCTATTTCACTTGTAATTTTGTACTACTAGTAATTTAGCTCATTCATTTTCCATTCAGAAAATACTATTTTCATCATTTTTGGTTGTGTTTGTGATTTCATATAATTTTTTTAGTAAGGTACCCCTTCAATTTTCGTGGAGTTATTGCCCTTCTCTTAAGGATGGGGGGCCACAGCCGGCCAAGCCTGTTGTTAAGTGCGAAAGGCTGGTATTTTGCATATTTCGTGTAAAAAATGATCTTTGAAAATTTTGACGGTATTTTTAAAGGCTTTCTATTTAAACGCCAAAGGCCAAATATATACCAAGGGAAAGCCCGTTTAAAGCTCTACAGTTCTCCGCCAATGAAAAGACGGTATTTAATCCTCCCTCGTTCCGCGAAGCATTTGAATGCACGCGTGTCAATTTTTTAACCAGCCGACCACGCATTCCGACCGCGAGGGGCTTCGCTTTCCTCGGTGATTCTCCAGCTCCTAATAATCAGGCATATAAACAACTTACATCATTGTAACGAGGAAAAGCTGAACTTTTAAAAGGTGTACGCCATTTGGTGCTTTATAGCGAAAGAGCAAAGAAACAGCCATCAGAATTACCCCCGAATTCACCGATACCACGCGGTCAGAAGGCCGCGAGTGCACGCGAGACCGTGTTTACGCTACCTACAGAGAGAGAGAGAGAGAGAGGGGAGGAGTAGATCTTGCGAGAACTTCCGGGTAAAACAAAATGGCGACCCGCGTAGTTTGGCTCGATTCGAAAAGTGAAATAGCCATAGCATCTTTGTAGACGATCAAATTAGCTTACTTTTGACCTTGTGCTATAATGTCATTTTTTCTTTGCTTTTATCAATTTGACAATCCACACCGACAGATATTCTGAAATTAGGAAAAATAGGTCTTGTTTCACACCAGGTGAGAATAGCCAACGCTGGCAAGTCTCACCCGGGGTGAGAGGTCGATCGTATTTTTATTCTCACCCCGGGTGAGGATAGCCACTTCCAATTTTAAATCCCCTCAGGGGGGTGGGAATAGAGAAAATCTAGGTGGGAATAATGGCAGCCTAATTTAAAAAGACCCAAAGTCAAAA